CAGGTCTGCTGTCTGTACAGAGACTTGATAGCAGAAGGTGTGGGCCCTGTCAGGTGGAACAGCCAAAGCAAAAGGAGAGGAAGGAAAGTTTCATAAACTTCTCTCACAGGCAGGGAGCTGGGGAAGGAAGGCAAAGTACTTTTTCATGCTTTTCATGTGGCAGTAATAGAGCCTAAATCCTTGTTCCCCTGTGCCTGAGGGTACAGCCAGCACTAGCTGGAGATAGAAGGGTATAATTAACCCAGCAGTTTCCTGTCACCTCCTTCCTCAGGGTCATTTCTTCCACCACTTCTTGGTGCAGAGTCATGCTTTGAAGCAGCAATTTGCAAACTCTTCACACTGTGGGGTTTCCTGATCTCTTGCCTGTCTCTGGCCCCTGTGAAGCTCCCGAGCATCCCCCAGGCTGCTGCTCTGCTGGGTGTGTGTTCCCTTTCCCAGCTCCCCATAGTGTAAAAGGTCATTCTCAGCTCCCCACACAAGGCATGACCTTCAGAGTGGTTCTCCACTCAAACAGGAAAGGATGATGTCGATGTCTCAGGGTTCAGAAAGTCGAGGAGACCCCAAGAGATCATAAAGAGTCTTTGCTTCCCTAGCCTGAGGCAGCCAAAGGAGCCAGGAATACATCTGATTGCTCTTTCAAGGTTGTTTATTTTCCCTTATCTAAACATTCTCTCTCTGACCTGCCAAGCTCTGTCCAGAAAGGAGGCCATGGCAATCTGTCCCCTAGCCTTGGGCAGCTCCCACCTTATATACTCAAAACTATGTATGTTTACAATTTATTACCAATGCCCATCATCTATATCAGACTGTGAATCTTAAACCAATAGAAAAGTATCACCGTCACACCAAGACATGGAGGACAAGAAGAAGAAGGCCAGGACACGCCCAAATTTCTCCATCTTGTACCCCCTAGAACCCCATTCTAAAAATCCCAAAATTCTACTTTTCCACCCTACGTTAATTCAAATATCACACTACTCAAGCACTTGTGACTTGTAATTCCTCATCCAGAGTTGACAGCTTTTTCCACAGGCTAAAATGGAAGCCACAGGTGTTTTTGACTTCTTGCCAAGGTCTCCAAGCCCCCTGCCAAGGTCTGGAGCCAGCCAAGGCAGCCCAAGGGATGTGCTGGACTCTGACAGGATGGCACTTGAAAGGAGCCCACAGGAAAGGTGGAGAGGGATGCTTTACAAGGGCCTGGAGGATGAGGGGGGATGGCTTCAAACTGAAAGTGAGTGGGATTAGAGTAGATATTAGAAAAAAATATCTTCCCTGTGAGGGTGGGGAGGCTCTCACAGAGCAGCTGTGGCTGCCCCTGGATCCCTGGGAGTGTCCAAGGCCAGGCTGGACAGCGCCTGGGATGGGGGAGGTGGTCCTGTCCATGGCAGGAGGTGGGATGAGATGGGCTTTAGGTCTGTTCCAACCCAACCAGTGCATGATGGCATGGCAAGAGCTCCATGATTCTCTGTTCCAGGTCCCATCTACCAAAGTGTGTGTCAGGCTGTGGCAGAGAGCTCCCACTCTGAACCCCACCTTGTTCCTGCTGCAATGGGCACTGTTCAAGTAGATGAACTTTCCTTTCTTTCTCTGTTGGCCTGTTTTTAAGAGTCAAGGATTTTTTCCTACTTCCTTAGAAACCTGTGCTCAGAACAGAATATTTTTTAGCATAAATCCACAGAGCTCCCTGATCTGTTTCTATGAAAAGTAAACATCCCAGCACATGTAGTAGCTGGCAGGAAGAGCTGGCCTGCACTGTTTTCCCCAGAAACACCCTGGAAAATAACTTTGAGCAGCGCATGATATTGAAGAATGGAGGGGGAAGAGGGAGATCACAGTCTGCTCACTGATAGCTGGCAAAAAATGGGGGAAAATTAGTAAAAATATATGATTGCAAATTATTTCTTGACCTCTGTGGAATGAACACAAACACTCTGGCACCTCTGGGAAGCCCCAGCATGTAGCCCCTGCCCGCTGTAACAAATCTGGGAGCTAATCTGTCCAGGGGGTGAGTGTCACTGCCAGAGGGAACACATCAGACTGCAGCTTTTAGTGACGTCCACCTTCTGGGGACACTAAGCCAATTTACCTCATTCCAAAGAAATTTCAGTAATAAAAGTAAAGGTGGCGAGCGGAGGCAGACGCTGGGGAAGGATTAAAGGCATTTGCATTAATAAATAGAGATGTTATCATGGAGAATTAATGTTCTTTGATCTGGATCTTGGCAGCATTAGGAGATGCCAGGTACAGTGCCTCATTATCTCTCAGAGGTTACGGGGTCAGCCTGGGACAAGGGGAAGTGATTTATGCAGTGTCTCTGTCAGAAGGATGAGAATATGTATGAAATAATAAGACTTGCAGAGACCATTAGTGAAAATCTCCCTGGATCCCAAGGTCTCACATTGCACTGGATTCCCTCTGTGCATCATTCAAGCACTTTCTTCCTCAGCTGTGTCCTCTCTCTCTCTCTCTTACCATTTTTATATCTCAAATTAGAAATGTTCCTTCCCCTTCCAGACTCTGATGGGCAAATGTCATTTTAAATGGGTGCTTAATCCAGAAGAAAAAACAGAATTCCTTAATTTGAAAATTCTCGCCTTTCTTCTCACTCCTTAGGAGGCCCTGGTTTGGGAGGTGACATTTGAATGAAGAGGTGGGTGTTGAATGGTTCAGGTACTAATTAAACCATCAAGGACAAATGAATGGGTGTGTGGACCTCTCCTGTGTGTGTGGGAATTGAGAATCCTGCAGGTGGACATGGCAGGGAGTGTTCAACCTGCCACACCTTGGCTTTTACTAACAGAGTAATCTAAGCTCCTCACTGAAAACAGCTTTTGGGCAAGATGAGCAAAATCTACTGATTTCAATTCCTATCTTTCAGTAAAAAAAATTAATAAAATATGACTTTTAAAAGCTTGTTTCTCAAAAAAAAGTGAAATCTACTTGAAAGCATTGTTTGACCATGTGCTTCTCTTGATTATTGTTTGAAAGAGTCACATTTAAAACAAAAATGACAATAAGATGGAATCCTAAAAGGTATTGATTTCTTTATTCCTTTTCTACAAATAAACAAGTGAGAAGAAGAGATATATTTCTAAATAAATGAGAGAATTTACTGAAGGAGAGGCTAAGACTGAGCTCAGATCCAGAGAAGCCATAGGAAAGAGAGGAAAAAACCTCTTTACAAGGGAGTTCTCGTGGGCCACAGGTTTCTGCGGAGTGCACAGAGCTAAGGGTGCCCATTAAAGGAACACTCCAATAATCTCCATTTCTGGGCTCCAGGCACACCAGTGAGCCCAGGTTCATCCCAGCCCTCCCTCGTCTGCCTTACAGCAAGATCCACGATGGATTTCAAGCACCACCACCAGGAATTAAGCATTTAATTCTCATTTATATTCTAAGGGAACTGGGCTCTGAACTGCTCCAGCTGCTTTGGAGCCTTCTCATCTTCACTTCTCTCTCCTTTATAACATGAGATTTGTCAATAACTTTTCCTATGCAGGATCAGGGTAAAAGGTAAGTCAAAATTAAATTGGTGTGTGAGAGAAATAGAGCAAAGAATCTGGATCAAATCAGATTAAATCCTCTCTTTGCACCTTTCAAATTTTGTTCTATTTTTTCTTTCCACCTCTTCCCTGCATTTCAGGAGAAATGCAATGCTTTTGACCAAAACTACCTGAACTTTTCATTTTTAAAAATACCCTTTTCTTTGCTTGCATCCCATTCAGTGGCATTTGCCTGTCAAAATGTGTAATTGAAAAGTTGCTGTCCAGCCTCATAAAAGTTACCATTTCTGTTAGCAACTATATTTGGGGCTGTCTTGAGCCTTATTTATGGACTTCTTGATTTTCCAAATGGAAATGCTGTCAAATTGAGTGGTTTTTTTTTTAAGTCAGTGAAGAAAAAATCATAAAGGACAATAAGAATGGAAGCTATTATAAAGCTAAAAAGGCAGAAGCCAAGCCCGGGAATGCATAGGAGGCAGGGAAAAATACAGCAGAAGATTTTGTTATAATATAATGAATGCCCAACTCACTTTGGCCAAGGCATTTTTGTGTGGGTGGGTGTGTGGAGGTTGGGATTGCCTTGGTTTGAGCACCAGTCTGGTTCAGAGGAGACAGGAAAGACAGTGCCAGAGTGAAGGAAATGACACTCCTTGTACCTGTTTTCAGCATAGCTTTGTGCAGGAATGCACAAAGATCAATAAAAATGTGTGTAATGAGCAGCCTCGCTCGCCGGAGGAGAACAAAAAAGATAAACTGGGTGACTTTTAATCCTCCTGAGGCTGAAGGGGAGGGAGTTTCCCCAGCTGGTTCATCCTCCAGGGTGTGCTGGCTCCAGGCTGGTTTGCTGGGTGACGGAGCACAGCCTCCCATGTGGGGAAACACCACCTTGGCCATTTCTGCTTCTCTGCAGAGCCCTGAGAAGGCACACAGGCCTACAAAGAACTGCAAGCCTGCTTTCAGACATCCTTTGAACACCTGGGATCTTCAGGAGCTAAGAATTTCTTTTAACACCCAGGATTTTTTTGCCCGCCATGTTTATATATTATGAGCTCATGCCAAGGACCCAATTAGGATTTTCTTATCTCTCTCCCCTCTTTCATCTCCACTTCTTCCTCCACCCATTATCAGGGACACCTGGAAACAATAAAGAGCTGCTTGTTTGGTTCCTCCTGCTCCCCCTTATTTTCTGGTGTATTTGATGTTGTAAAAGCAGGGCTGTTAGAGATCCATTAAGCAGTGTTTGCAACGGATGGGAAGAGTTCTCTGTGGTTTGAGGAAGATAAGGCACATAAATCAAACTTCCCCTACATATAAACATTTCTGTAAATAGCTGAGAAGGACTACAAACATGGAGCAGCTTTTCCTAGGTGCTGCATGTCCCATCTTGTCACTACTGGAAGCCAGGAGAGCTGAAGAGTTGGGATCAGAAGCTTCAGACAAGACCAATGAACTGTTTCCCGGGCTGGAATCAAATATTTATAATGAGATAATTAATTTGTTTGCCAAGGTATGGTTTATTCAAGGAGCATCCAGCATGTTCATCCAGCCAGTGAGGTCATTCTGCAGTAAGGATCCATTTGGGAATTTCCTCTTCTGGGTTTTGGAAAGGCCTGTGAGTGCCAACTACCTCAGTGATGGGGCTGCAAAAACCACACAGAGACCTGTTTTTGTTCAGTGAGATTCTGCAGTGCAGGGGTAGAGTCTCCTGCTCCAAGAAATCCTCTACTTTGTGTTTGTATCTGTTCTGCAGCGAGGAGGAAACCAGTCAGATCCTATGCACCCCTGTGGCATGTCCATGCCATTTTCCCACTTCCACATATTCGAGATTTTTCTACCCAAGAGATACTCCAGAACATTTGTTAATAATGCAGTTCACAGCTCATAGGAAAGGAACACAGAGGGTCTTTTTTTTAGAGCTGTTTCAACCTGGATGCCTTGGCTTAAATGTTACTCTTTTCTTTCAGCAAGCTTAATACGGATTGGAAAGACACCCAGATAGAAAATGTGTAAATTAAAACTCCCCTGGAATGATAAGGAAGGAAAATATTTATTCTCACTCTTGTCCCAATGTCTCAAAAACCCATGTCAAGAAGATGATCCCCTGCTTCTGAAGGAATGAAAAAATGTGGGCAATAGCCCTTGACAGACAAAAACTTCATGATTTGAGCTCAGAGCTGAGGCCTCTGGGTGGATAAATGAGTCCCCTGCCAAAGGATAAAGAATCCCTGGATTTAATCTGTACTGGAAGGGTTTCATGGGCAGTTAACAGGTCAAAGGCTCTCACTGAGAGTGCCAGAAATCTTTCTTTTTGGCCTTCTGGTGACATTGTTTTAGGAACAGTTTGCTGTTGGGTGGACAATCAGGTTTAACCCTGATTAATTAGGGACTCCACACCTAATAATTATGGAAGCACAGAAAAGCTGGAGGGGAAAGGGCCAGAGCAGAATGAAATCACACTAACAGGAGTCCTATGGGTTTTCTCCAGCTCCCACCCTGTGGCATTGAGGATTATGGTTTTGGATATCCTTCTACAAATTATTTTGTGTTTCTCTCTGTAAATACAAGCCCCAGTGAACTTTTGTGGCCCTCAGCTGATCCCCCTGAGTGAAAAGCAGAGGCCACAACATCAGAGACTCCACGCTGCCAACTTCTCTGTTTTATTAATAGGTGAGAAAAGATTTTGGAAGGGAGGAGGGAATTTGAATGATTCTAAAGAAATATTTCAGCAAAAGAAAAAACAGCTTGAAAAGCTGAACCAGTCCATTAATCCCTTGCCAAAGACAGTTTAATACCCATTAGGAGGCAGACACAGGGTGTGTTTCCATCCATGGACACACAGATTTGGCTCTGGAGTTAGAGACACTAACTTAGTACTTCAGGGACTGGCACAGCACTGAGGAGTCCATTCCCCTTTAAAGTGTAGTTTCTTAATATATTAAAAAACAAAAGACACATAATGTTAAATATGACTTTAAAAATGTTACTAATAACTCCCTGGGGTCAAGAGATCTTGAAGCACTCAATTTTTTTCTGACTTTGAGCCAGAACTAGCAGGGTTTTTCACTTTAATATCTCTGGTATCCATGGCTGTGATGTGCTGCCTCTATTTTAACAAGAGATTTTGACAATTTTGCCCTCTGAGTCTTACAGAAATCTACTGTCCCTGGGGAGTGTGGCCTTGCAGGCAGTTTATACTTAATTTGTTTTTCTCTTTAAACAGAAACACTTTCTCAGAGACATTTGCTAGGCAACCACAACGTAACTGTTCTTTTCTCCAGAACATTTCATCTAGACCTGCTAGAAAAGCTTTAAAATCCTGTGAAGAGCCACATTATGCTGCTTTTCTGTAATTTACATGGTGTAGGTATGTGAAAAATCAAAATTAAATATTACATAACAATTTGCAAAGGGAACCAAGGGAAGTTCCAAACATTGTGTTCCTGGGATATTTTCCTTAGTTTTGAGAGCATTGAATTGGTCCTGTGCTTTTATTTTTTGAGAATTACATGAATTACATTTTTTAAGGGTTCTAACAAAATTGGGGACAGTATGTTTCTTTTCCACTGCCCTCCAGGTTCTGATATCAGCTCCAAATTATCACCCTGTTTGCTTCCAAATCCATATAAGATGAAGATGATCCATTTTCATTTCACAAGAATCTTGCCTGCTGTTTTTGCATCCATCTCACTAAACATCATCTCCACTTGTCCAACACTGCTGAGCTCAAGCCTGGGTGAAACAGCACAATTGTAAACCAGATCTGTCATTTTGATGCAGCTTGATCTATTTAATGATCACAAATTCTTTAAAATTAAAGATTAGTCACATCCACCAAAAAAAAAAAAAAATCCAAATAGATTATGGGTTGGAGAGAAAAATTGTGATTAAAAATATAGGGGATTTACACTTCTTGGTTAATTTATATGTTAAGGAAAGATTAATTTTAGACAACTCCATGGACTTTTTCCTTTTAAAACCTGGTTCTGGATATCATGTATCCTGAAAACATGGATGCATGCCTTTAGTGGGTGCTAAAGATGTGGAAATGATAAAAGTTATACCAGACTCCAGGATCACAGACTTGGTTTCTGGTGTTGTTCAGGGGGCTGGTCCAGCTGTGAAGAGATTCCCATGGGAATCCTTGGTCAGCAAGACCAGGGAGGGTCTTTTTTATCTGATTTTTATTTTTCACAGTGCCTTTGCTAAAGGTCAGGGTTACACCACCCAACAAGGTCATGTGAATCCCAGCTGTTGCTCTTCCAATCTCAAGGTTACTAATGGCCATAATCCATCAAGCAGGAGACTTGAGGAAATGAGACTGCAGAAATACACTTTTATGACTTGTGGAAGCTCAGTTGGCTGTTGACAGGGCTGAGGAGTCTTAATAAGAGGGATTGGAAGAAAAAAAAAAACCCTTTATGAGGAATTAATTTCCTGTCTCCATTATGAAGTGCTGGGATGTTCATTTAGCATGCAGGAGGTGGGTGTTAAGATTAGAGCAGGGAAGGAAATGGATATCCAAATGTGCTAAATCTTCCTCAGTGCCACAGCAAGAAGCTCTGAGAACATGCTGATGATCCTTCTTCATTTGAGCCAACCCTAACAATATCTTCCTGGAAGCAGGAGGCTGCTGCTTCCCATTAAATCTGTTCTTCCTATGTTCCAAGCTCTCAAAAGAGATGTTAAATATGCCAAGACCCAGAAGAAGAGACATGCAAATGTTACTGATGAGAAAACTTTCAAGAAGTCTTTACAAATCTGTCCTTGGAACTTAGGGATTCACTCTGTGAGATTAAACCTCTCTTTATAATGTCTCTCTTTATTATATTGATGCATGTAGTCTTAAGGAAGAAAATGTAGGGGCTGAATGTGTGTTAGAGGACTTCACATCTGCAACCCTCAGAGGCTTAAACAGAGCTCTGCTGATCTAATCAACAGACCCAAACTCTCCTGATCTAGCAATCTTGCTTCCTTCAAGAAATCTTACTCTAAATCAGATTTCAAATATAAAAAGTATCCTTGTTTTCCTCAGGCAAAAAGAAAACAAGTTTGGGTCATCTCATGGAAAGCCATAGGAAGTTTAGCACCCTCATTTCTTTCTGAGTGCTGGAAGAAAGACTTATCCAGGTGATATGTGAAACCAGAAAAAGACAGCAGAGTTGCCCATGAAGTTGATCTTTATGAAGATTTTCAGCACCCAGCTTTTCCCAGCACTTCAGTCACACTCTCTTTTCTGAATACCACAGTACTCAGGGCTCACCCCCGTGTGAAGACAAATATCACCTTCAGTGGGTGTGGAGAGTATTTTCAGGGACTTTGAGAGCACTCTCAGTTCTCAGTGGACTGGATGCTTTGCTCTGTGTGAAACACTCCCCTCCCTCCATAGTCTGTCATAGTTTCTGCTTTGACTTTTTCATGAATAATTGGATATCCAACAACTCTGGTATCATTACACTCCTCCTTGGTCTGTCTTATCTGTTGATGATATTCACCCCCTGGGAGATTTTAGATATTTTGAGTGAAAGCTCTTTAGAGAAGGCCATGTTTATTCCAGAGTGCCTTTCTCCAGTACTTGGCACCATCCCAACTCTGAGCCACCACCCTGTTAGAGATGACAACCAAGGACATCCCCATTTGCAGCCGCACCATCAAAGCCCTGCCTTTCACATCTCCTGCAGCACACTTGCTCTGCCTTGTTCCCCTCTTGCACTGGCATTGTTTGGTGTGATAATGGAACTTAAGGTCGTATTTTGCCTTCAGCCATCAGCATGTGCAAACGCTGTGTGACTAATGAGGCAGTCCCTGATGACTCCCTGTGCTGTTTGCCTACAAGATGCTTTGTTGTGTTTGCAGTCCCTCCTGACTGCTGGTGAAGAGCTGTTTTTTTCCCTGGGCTTGTGACTTGAGCTGGAAATCCAATGGTAGTGCAGGTTTCTGCCCAAAAGGGATTTCCTTCCCCTCCTCTTCCACAAACATGCTAAAAGGAAAATCTGCTTTTTGGTTTGTCTATCCTGCTTTCAATTTGTTTTCAGTCCCTTTTCCTTAGGGAACTCTTCTGCTGGTTTGGGGAAGTTTTGTTCTCTCAAGGATGTCACATGGTGGCTTGGCCAATGCACATGTTGGGGACGTGTGGGACAGATGTAGAGAAAACGGGGCAGCAGCAGGATTGGCGCATGGCCACAGTGCTGGGAGATAAAATAATGTTCTCCTCCCTTCCTCCCTGTTTCATGGGCAGAAATGACTCAGCTCGACACCACAGAAAGCTCTTGGACAAGAGAGGTTTAAAAATGATGGATTATAGGATGCATCTCACCAGTGACTCAGCTTGTCAGTGTTCATCACTGGAACTCTGACCCTTCCTCTTCTCTGGGGTTTTCTAGCCCTGGATCATTGATAGGGATTAAAGGGGCAAATGGACAATATTTTCAGATGCTGAACACTTTTGGAGAGTGCAGTCCCAGTGTGTACTTGAGCACAGACACTTTTAGAAAGGACCTGCTTTTCATGAAGCACTGAGTGTCTTGTCTGAAAAGCTGGGTCCTGTTAAGGATGCCCATATTGGACATCCTTGAAATACGAAAGCTAAGGGGAAAAAAAGGTGGTGAGGTCCTACCCAGAGGAGTTCTGGCTGCCCTGTCCCTAGAAGTGTCCAAGGCCAGGTTGGACAGGGCAGCCTGGGATAGTGGAAGGTGTCCCTGACCATGGCAGAGGGTGGGATGAGATGAGCTTTAAGGTCCCCTCCAGCACAAATCAGTTTATTATTCTATGCTTCTATGAAAACTAACTCCTGACTCCATTTGGAAAAACACTATAAGGAGCTGCAAGGGACTTTTCAGGATTCTTAGAGAAGTGTCTGCTGGATCAGACTGATGTGTCTGGTAGACATTGACCCAAACAGGGAAACAAAATTTCCCTTTCTCCTTTCAAATATAGCTTGCAAAATTTTCTCATTCCACCCTACGTTTCCACAATTTGTTCCCTCCCTGCCACAGATATGATTTTGTTTTGATCAGATGCCTGACCCTCTCTCCTCATCTCTTTTTTATTTTTTTTTTTACCCATTGAAGGGGATCCATCAAAATAATTTCCTGTTATTAGGCCTGAAGTGTTTTGACTTTGGAATGGCTTCTCACTTAGAAAGAATTGATGCCTATAACTTGTAATGTGCTCACAGTTGTGTGCAGTGCCTGACAGCCCAAACTCCATTCCAGGGAGCTAATCCCAGTGGCTGAACTCCATTAAAGCCTAGATGGTATCTGTTAATACAGCCCTGCAGTTTGGGTCATTGTGCTGATGTAAGGAGCACAGCTGCCTGGAGACAGATTATGATGTGAAAGGACATCTTTATTCTATTTTAAACTGAAAAAAAAATGGATGGGAGACACACTAGTCATGATTGATTAAAGATATGAAAAGGACTTTATGAGGTTTTTTTGAGTGCCCTGTGTTTCTCATTCTGTTTGTCATTCCTCTGTGTTTGGTAAATAATAAATACATAAACCCAAACCTTCAGGATAATAGCAAAGAGAGAGACTCCTCATGTTCAATGGGTTTTGTAATAATGGGCTGAGGACTGCGAGTCTCAGGAATCAATTCCCAGCTCTGGCACTGATCTGTTATGCAGTCCTGGGACACCTTTTCCCCTTATATCTTCTGCAACTATTATTTCAACCAATCTGTTTAAAATAATAAATACAACATGGCAGTGCCTTTGCTCTCCTGGCTGTGTGTGCAGACCCAGCCACTGACAATCTAGGCCCTGAGTTTCAGAGCCATGTGCCATTTTACCAAATAAATATTGATCCCTCATTTCCCAGCACTGGTTATTCCAGGGACACTCTCTGGAGCCTTCAACCTCCTTATCTTGCTTCTCACTGCATTATCAGTAATATCCAGGGTTGTAGAATGGAATAACACTTTGGTTCTTCATCTCTCTGTATGTGGAGTGGTTCCTGTGTGTTGTGCTCACCTGACTCCCTTATCCAGGAGAGACATAAACTGGCCTGGTTCTGCCTTTGGATCCATCTCACCATTCCTGCCATGGCTGCTCATGTCTGAGGTTGTACTCTGACAGCTCCATGTACTCCTCGGCAAGCTTGGAAAGGAAAGAGTCTTATAAAAAAAAAAAAATCACATTAAGCATAGCATGTGTTTCATGCTCCTTTAGCATCTTATCCTGCTCCAGAGCATTGTAATTCCCCTGGCTGCTTTTGAATTTCATGTCACACTTTTAAATGTGGTTTGGTACATCCTCTACATGCTCTGTCAGTAGAGTTCTGCCAATAACCTCAGCACATGAGCACTGGGAAAGCAGTTCCTGGCTCTGCTTCCCTGCGTGTTGGAGTGTGGGCATCTCACAATTTGTCACATGGGAAGAAACTCTTCCTCCTGCTGGAGCCACACAGGAGCCTCTTTCAGCAAGACAGGGTTTTATTAATGGGTCAGTCATCTGAAATTCTGTCCTGAGCAAGAAGCATCCACAGGACACGGCTACAAAGGGATGCCTGAGCGTGTTAGTTTGAATTAACTTTTAAAGCAAACAAGACAAAACTTCTTGTAACGGTCTTAAACATTCTTGCATGAATTATATAGACTTGTCTTAAACTTGAATAAGGTTTGACAAATCCACTTTGAACATTCATTAAAAGAAATGTTCAGGAGTGTCTTCCATGGAGACACAAAACACATGGCTGTCCTTGCACTAAGCCAAATCAACAACTGCATCTTTGCTGGGAAAGAAGAGAATGAAGGACTGTGGAAAGGAACCTTTGAAAACCCTGAATTATTGGTGGGGTTGGTGTTGTCCACTGAGAGACAATATCAAGGCACAGAGACAACAAGAATCTTTGGGAAAAGATGAGAAGGAAGGGGTGCAAATCTGTTTATTGTAAGTGAAGACTGAGGGTGACACAGATCTTGTATGAGAGTAATAATGTCTATTGACTTCAGCTCCTCTTGAATCAAGAGTGGTATTTCTGCTTGTTGTCTCACAACAGCCTCATTTATCCTGTTTTTCCTTACTCCACTTGAAATTTATTCATAATTTGTAGACGTGCCCAGTGTGCCGACACGTTGCCTTTGAATTGCTCATAAGGGTTTAAAGGAGCTAAATTCTACTTTTCCCTGGTACTTAAGTTTATATTTGATTTGAGGGCAATGTAAAGATTGAGATTTCAGACCAGACTTTCTGATGTACATTGATTCTTTAAGCCAAAAAACAGCAAGCAGAAATTTCGGTTTTGCCAAGAAAGGCAGCAGACACTCTTCCAAAGAGGGAGTGAATGGATTTTTAAACTGAAGTTTGAGTTTAGCCATAGCCATTCTTCAGGGCAACGTCACAGCTGCAGATGCAGTTTAGATACTTTGAGGTGTTTGCAAAGATTCATTAGCTGCCTAAATGAAAACTGAGCTCTGATGAAAATCTGGCCCTTGTGGGCACTGAGCCTCAGGTTTGGTGTGCTTTTGAAAAATCTCACCCTAGAGGACTCAGTGGATGCACTTTCCTGACCTGAGCTCATGCACAGAGAATAACCTGAGTTATTTCAGTGCTTCCAGGAGTTCAGCTTCATTCTTTAAAGTGAACAACCTTACACTTCCCAAGTTTGCTGGGAAGTGATGAAAATCCCCGGAGGGTTCCCTTTTTGGAGAGAGTTCATCCGAGGTAACACCTCTGCATAGGCAGCAGACTGTGTGGGTGGAGATGTGTATTTTAATAACTACAGAGCAGAAATGTGAGCTACACCTAACACCTCCCTTTTAGTGCCACCCTCCCTCCCCTGCCCACCCTGCCCTTCCACAGCCACCCAGCCCTCTCCCTCTCCCTCTCCCTCTCCCCTGGCAGTGGTGGGATCCAGGTCCCCTCCCTGCCCATCTCCCACCTTTTGCTGTTCCCTTCCCTTTGCTGGAGCTGCTTTTCTGCTGCCGCTGCTGACTGAGTGTGTTTTGCAAACTTGCAATTTCACGCTGCATTTGTTGCCACGGCAACATAAGGGGGAGTTCAAAGTAGGGAAAAAAGAGTCAAAAAATCCTCCCCAAAAACTCTTGGATTGGCCCCTTATTTTGTGCCTTGCCCATACAAATTTGGCCATGCAGCTACATCAGCAGTGGGGTCTGCCAGGAAAATTTTTCCCCTAGGGGACCTCAGAAACTCAAAATCCAAATCTCTTGTCCTCCCTTAGAGCTGCCTTCTTCTTCCTCTCTCTTCCTGGGTAACCAGGAGCCTCCAGCAGCATCCCTGGAGATTCCTGCTCTCAGTGGCAGCTTTTCCAGTGAGTCCTGCTGCCTTTGCAGGGAATGGTGGGGCATTTGGGAAGCTGGCACGAGCCTCCAAGAGCACGATGGCAACGCTCAGTGGCAGCACAGTTTCACCTTTATCTTTCATCCCAGCAGCAGATCCCTCAGCACAGATGATGGAGCACTGGTTTCAGCTGGCTCCCACCCCTCCACCCCCTCCTCCTCCCTGTGACTACAGCCCTTAAATGAAAACTTTATGGCTAAGAGCTGCTGACACTTCTTCATGGAGAAGATACATGGGGTGGCTGGTGGCTAATGAGTGTCAGTACTCCAAAGGATAATCTCGGCTTCTCTCTGATACAATTTAACATCGTATTTCCCTAATTTGAGGCTGATTTAGTCGCTGGGGTATTTGGATGCCTCTTCTATGGTGCCGATAGTTAATTAAACAGATGTTGCAGAGGGAATCATTAATTTTAGTGCTGCAGATGGGAGCAGAATGACTTTGTGAAGTTAATGTTTCAGCAAAACAATAGGCTTCTGTCATCAGTTGCTATAAACCGAGTAAATTAAGAGAACAAGTAGAGTAAAGGAGATAGCTTTGAAAGAATATCAATTATTCATTTTAGAATTGTACTTTCCCCCCATAAATCATCACAGGAAGAGAGGAGGGGGAAAATCTGCAGAAGCTGGGAAGTGGGAAAGAGAAGAATCCCCAAGTCAGCAGCCTGAGAGTTTAACCCTGCTCCCATTGGAGCACTGCAGGGTCCTGCAGGAGCAGAGAGCCAAGGGCTGGGGGCTGCAGCACCTGGGACAACATGGCAATAAGGACAAATGTCCATTCCCATATTTAAAAAGCAGTGGGCACAAAGACCTTCCTTTTTGAAGGCTGTGACACTTTTTGCACTCCAGGCTGGCTGTCCCATACCTGTGGATGAGGTTTGCTGGAACAGCTGGCTGGATTTTTTGAGTGTGGTGAGTTTCCAATGGCAAGTTGACATGTTTTGACACCTTCCAAAAACTTCAGAGCCAGTATAAAAAGCTCCTAAAACTCCTAAAAAACTTGCAGGGCCGCATCTGTGTATCAGGTGTGGCTGTTCTGACCCAGAAGTAGAAAAAGTTTAAAAACTCGAGGTCTTTACAAGTTTCTAACTGGCATTAAATGTCAGTCATTTCTGCTGAACAGGAGCTCATATTTTTGAACTAAAGTGAACAGAGGTAAAATCCAGCCACCTTTACTCCATAAAAAGGCAGTGGCAGAAGAGGATGAGGGAAACAAATGAAGCCAATCCCTCGTGCTGGAGTGAAAGCACTACTGACTGCTTGAGTGCCTCATAATATGAAAATTATGTTTCTTTTTTCAGACAAATGAGTCATCTGACCACTCAAACTTCTCCATGAACACATCTCTGGCCATTTATATTATCTTTCTCTTTCTCATATGTGCATGTTTCCTTCCTTATTACCAGCTACTCCTTTCTCCAAAAACAATAATCAGTGGTTATTCTCATTTATTTGGTAAGGCCAAACAATTTCCATGCCCAGAACGTAATTATGAATTTGGCAGTTCTGATTAATAAATCTTTCAAGAACCATTCTGCATTTTATCCATAAACAGCATCTTCCAGAGATTCATTGACAAAATATGAAAAAATAGAAAGACACAAAGTGAAAAAGAATTCAATTCTTCTTGTCAGTGAAGCCCTGAGGTCAATCTTAAATGTTTAAGGTAAATTTGACCATTGGATCTATTTCTTTAGCATCCAATTGGTACTCACATTTTATTTTAATGGATACTGTTTATATTTTATTCTTTCTGGCTTTACAGTAGCTCCAACTTCAAAATCAAAATATCCCAGATTAATTCTAGGGGATCATTTCTGTCCTCAAACTGCAGCATTGTACAGCCCTTGTCCTGCATAATAATCAAACAAGTTTTTTGCTTCAAGCATCCACCCAACTGGCCAAGCACTGGCGGTTTTCAGCTGGCTAAGAAGAGGTGTCCAGTACATTTTGGGAAACATCAAGTACCCCAGATAGCTGTAGGGATACCATGCACGTGTTAGGATGCTGTAGGGCCCCTCAGATGGTGCTACTGATATTATTTTCAGCCAGCTGAATTGGTCCCCTTAGGGACAGAGAAATCTCTGCAGTGTGGATGTCAACAGGCACTGAAGTCACTCAGAACCAAGGAGAATAAATTCAACCCTTCCCAAAGTGTCCTGCTGAAGAACCTGGAGGAGCTGTGATTTCTGCCTGGCAAAGACTGAGTCTGAGGGTTCTGAGAATGCAGGATCCTGAGACCCGTCTGCTTTTGCAAAATATTACACTGAATAGAAGGACTTTGGCTGCTTCCTTTAGGAAATATAATTCTCATTAAAGGCATGAAATTGAGCTACTTGGAGACCTCAGTTTCACTCTGCTGAACAATCTGAACATAAGATTTCAGCAGCAGCAGCTCCTCGGTCTGTGTGCTCGTCTCTATGCTGTGCCATGGGGATTTGCTTCTCTGAGAGTCCTTGGGATTGCTGTGTTTGTTCACTGGCAGCCCTTCAATTCCAGATCCCTGGCATGGAACTACAAGCACAGAATTCTCCAGAGATCTGCATCCCATCCATGAAAGTGCCTTTGTTTCCCTCTCCCCCAGGACAGGGCACCAAGCACCTAGCACACAGTAGTTAATGGGCTACCCCAGTCCTGCTCAATAGGGTGTCACTTCTTGTCAAGCTTCCTTGGAGCCACCAAGAGCATCTGGAGCGCAGGACTCCCCAGGGAGCACCCCAGCCTTTCCCTTCAGGGAGCCTCAGCATCCTGCCACAGTTATTTTCTCCACACAGCATCACCTGCCAGCAGTGCCTGCCCCTGTGAGAGGTAATTGATTCCCTTTCCCTTTCCAGCCCTAATTAAAACCACCCCATATTAAACCTGAACGCATTGGAAACAATTAGCTCGCTCTTTTGTCTCCTCGTTGGAGCCGGCAACGCGAGGCAGCCAGGTGTCACGTTCAACAAATCTCCATCAAGTGATTTCTCTGGAAGGAAATGGAGTTTGAAGAACTCCTCTGCTGCTCCTGACACTTTGGCTCTGACCTTCTTGTGCTCCCAGCTTATCTCCATGGAGATGCTCATTTTGCAGATTGGCTCCATCTTCTGCCAGCAGCCGCTCCTGGAGGCAGGAGGCAGGGCCTGGGCAGGGGAGAGAGGCTGTTCCAGGCATTCAATCCCATCCTTTCCCACACTCCAGCACTTTAAAATGGACTGTGGTATTGATCATCCTGCAGGAAAGGTGTGGCCTGGCCACTCCAAGCTTATCCAAACCCCCAAAGGGAGAATTTTAGCTGGAGTTAGGAGCTCCCACTCTACCACAGCAGTAGTAGAGTGACCCTCACAGCCTCAAGGACAGGTCTGCACTTTGTTTTGGTAAAGCCTGACCATGTCCAGGCTCTTGCCAGAGCTGGGAGAAAGAGGGGGGTGTCTGTTCCACCCTACACCCAGGAGGATAACTCGTGTCTGCAGGAGAAACGTGCTGCGGGAGCACAGCATCCCTGCTGGGATTTGGGACACAGAGCTGTCTCCACTGCTGGAGCTGGTCATGATGGAAGTAAAAAATAATGCTCAGGAAAGGGGAAAAACTGAAAAAAAAAGTACAACAATAGGTTACATCTGCAGAATTCTCCAGAAATGGTAAGTCCAGTATAAAAGTCCTGCTCCAAATTTCATGTAGACTTTATCTGACCTGATAGCCACCAACATCTCCTGTGGGGCTGAGGGGGATCCACACCCTCCACATGGAAAGGAAGCATTAGCAGGACTAAGCTCAGTGCTCTCAGGAAAAGCACTTGTTAGGAAATTTCAACAAACCATTTTTCATTGGAAAATGCTGATTCTTTGAAACAGGCTTTTTGTGAGAATAAAAGGGCAATTTTTCCTCATTGTAGCAACTCTAAATATTGCGGCAGCTTTAAGTGAGAAGAGAAACTAAGAAAAACCCTGCTTGAAAGTTGGTTTTTTATCCCCTTGTTTCAGGTTGTAACTTTATTATGATGAAAACCAAAAGAAAATCAAAACAAATGTTGTTAAAGAAAAAGGAAACTTTTAAGACTACTGTAAAAATGAAATCCATTGATCCGAATAGAGGTATTTTTCCCCAGTGTTTGTTCCTACCATTTTTATTTTAACTTCAGGTACTTGAGAGAGGAAAGGGATGGAGAGATCCCAGGAGAAGGGGAGAAGGCTCAGCTGAGCCTGTGGGCCAGGCTTTGTGTCTGCAGCAGCAGCTGTGGTGAATGACAAATTACAGCTTCTCAGGGCTTTGGGTACCACAGGCAGAATTCATTTAGGGGCCAAACCACTTCCCTGGCGTGCCTGGGATCAGCTGCAGGGAGGGAAATGGGTCAGCAGGGCCCAGGGCTTGTTCCCCAGGCTCAGCTGTGGGGTGAACGTGGCAGGAAGGAGAAGGTGGTGCCTGAGACTTTGCCTAAGTTTCCCCTGAATTTCAGTGCCAACTCAAGTGCCAGAGCAGCCAGATGGCACCTTCTGAAGCTCTTCCACCTTCACCCAGGCTCCAAGGGGTGCAGTGAAGCTGTTTGCAGGCAAGTCTCATCCTTCTGTCCTCAGGGGTTTCACAGCCCTGCAGTTCTGCTCTGGTGTGAGCTGAGAGCTCCAGGGCTCTTGCATCTCCTTTTCTGTTGGCAAGGGCAAGTCTGA